CCGCGCCTTCTCCGCGGCCTCCCCCTTTCCCTCCGCGGAGCCGCGCCGCAGCCCTGCGGGTTCTCCCTCCCCTCTCCTCTCCTCGCAGAAGGTGCAGGTGCTGCCGCAGACCGTGCTGTACATCGCCGACGCGGAGACGTTCAGCGGGCACGAGGAGTGCCACGAGCAAAAGAAAGGTAAAGCCTGAGGTAACTCGTTCCCGCCGGGGGTTCTCTGAGGGAAAAGTCAGGCTTTTGCACAAAATGCGACCCCGTAGGTTTATATTTGTGATGTGAAACGCATCGGCATGCGATCGTAAAGAGATGAACTCCCGTCCTCGGGAGGCTACAGGTTCTCGTAGCAATTAGTACAGGGCAGCCGCTGACGGGCAGCACTGGTTAAATAGGAGGGGTTTGACTGTGGGGTTTATTCCCGGACCGTTCAGAACAACTAATTTTAACTTTTCTCTGCTTTTTTTTTTTCTTACTTTTTTTTTTAACAGCCAGAAAAAGAAACAGTAAAGAAACAGCAATTGCACTTGAAAAATTGTTGCCGAAGCGATGTCAGGTTCTCGGACTGGTCACCCCAGGGGTTGTAGGTAGGAGGAAAATGTGTGATTTCGTGAGAGATTGGCGTGAAGGTGTCCAGTGTATCTCACACCTGTTCCGGTTCCTGTTTATCACAATTTCATACATTTTTGGAAGCACAGTCCTGCAGAATGACAGGAGAGTTCTCGCAGCGATTACCATGTTCTGCTCCCACCTTGTTCAGCGCTAGCATAAATTTTAAGGAGTTCACAGTGCCGCTGCGAAGTCATGCGGAGCTTAAATTTTTACTTCATGTGATGCAGCTATAATTAAGAGGGTTGATTTAATTGAGTAGGCAGCTTATTACAGTTTTTCCTGGCACATTAATGTAATTATTGAATGTTTCTCAGATTTATCTGTATTTTTCGGAGTCACTTTGTGACTTAATTGTACAGGACATCCTCGGTATGTAACCGTTTGTCATGGTCCAGCAGAAGGCATGCACAATAACTACAGAAAATTCACAGCTTCCCTTGGCAGTCATCTTCTACTGCTTTGCTTTTTTATCAGCAGAATTTTTTTTCCTAGTTTCTCACCTTAAATTCTCTTCCCACAGCATAAGTAGGGTGTTTGATTATTGTCACTGGTATAATTCAGTAATACGCTCTCAATATTTGTGTTGGTTTGCTTTTTGCTGTCATCACACGCTTGTATAACATGTTAAAAATCTGAGTATGTTTGCATGCTTGCGAAAGTTCACAGGAAGGCTTGAGAGAGCTGTATTGCACAGTGCTTGTTTTCTAACGGGTTCATATTCGGTGTGGCTAGGGCAAAATGTCCAAATATGTCCATGTCTCCTTGTCCAAAGTGACTTCAGTGTTATCTATAGCCAGCAGGACTTCTACATGCTTCATCTTACCAACACATCAACAAAAAAAAAAATATCACACCAGTTGTCAATTAGATACATTGTTATGGAAATGAACTATCACGTTTTACATCGCTTAAGTTTTTCTGCCTTTTTTAATCTGTGTTACAGTGTAGACAAAAGTATCAGAGTCACTGAAGGCAAGATGTCTGGTTTTGTGTCTTTGTAGTTACACCTATGGGTTCAGGCAGCAATCAGCCTCAAGAAATTGAAGAGGGCGAAGCTGGGTTTGCTCTGTTGTTTCCCAAAATCGATGGGGTGAAAATTCATACGTTCCATTTTTCAAAGGACTTGAAGAACAGGGTCTTTGATGAAAGTAAATTTGCTGAAGCAGGTATGTCCTTGTTCTCCCCTTTGTTTGGGCTTTCGTGCAGTGTTGCATTGCTCTTTAAGGCGCCAGCGTGGAAGCAACAGCTTCTGTGCTAATTCCATTCCTAGAGCACTCTGTGGCTTTCCAGGGCTGCAGCTGGTAATTGTGCATCTCTGTTCTTCCCATTCTCTGGAGTATTAAGATTAAGTTATGGTGAGTATTGATCTCAGATTGCCTCAGTTATGTTACAAGTGGAGCTGTTCAGAGGGAGCTGTTAGGTTTTGAGCAACCTCTAATTGGTTAAAAATAATGGTAAATGAGTTTGTGCCATTGGGAATGATTCCCATCACTACAGTTTAGAAACGAGTAGGGAGGAGCTGCTTCTCCTCTTCTCCAGAATAACTTTGTATTTAGATCCTAAGTCAGGCATTGTAGCAAGGAAAGGTAGAACAGGAGACAACATATTCCAATAAATACAGTTTACAATCCTCGTGTTGTGTCCTCAGCAGGGTAGATCATTTATGAAGAGTAATATAGTGAGGGTTTCTCGAGTCTTCTGTGAGTTTCTGCCTTGGGATAAGTGACTGGCTGATGTATGTAATGTATTTAATTTTCAGGTAAAGTTGTTCACTCCGTTGTGGTTTATGTTGAATAACCTATACGCTCAGTTCTTATCTGAATGAATTAAGGATGATTGAGGGTGCTAACTAAAACTGAAGAGCTCGGCCTTCAGAGGCTGTGGTAAAACTCAAATGCTCTGCTGAAGAACTTGAAAGCTGGAGGAAGCAGGTGTAGTCGTCTTTTCCTTGCTAGCTGCTTTTTGGAAATTCTCACTTAAATGGGGAATGCAGCCCAGCCCCTGGATGCCTGGGTAACTTGTGTCGTTTTCCCAGTTGCAGCAATGGAAAGCCATTACTAAAGGTGTGATGTATTATTTGAGGAGAGACTAGGATGGTTGGACTTCAGGGGTCAGGATTTAAAAATAAGAGGATTAGTGTTTGTGGTTTTCTTTGTAGGTCTGAAGAATAACCCAGATCTCCGGGTGGTTCTTCTATTTGGCTACAACTCCTGGAAGTCTGGAGCCACTCGGTTTCTTCATCAAATAGTCAATCCTTTGAATGAGAAAAGTATCATTCTGGCTGGGGGACAAGTGGAGAGTTTTACATCACTGACCTCTGAGAAGTAGGTATCTTTTTCAAGGTAAATTGTAAAGAAGATTTAAAATGGGAGAAACAGTGCAGAAGCTATAGTCTTCTAGTTATGTCATATTAGAAATGCCCATTAACGGTAGTAAAATGATAAATTTCTTTTTTAAGAGAATAAAGCCCAACTAGTACACTGGGATCTAGCCAGAAAAACTGAAAGCTTTTTATGACTGTGTTACAAATTGGATTCTGGAAACCCAGCTAGGAGAAACCCACTGCGAAGGAGATTTCCAGCTTCAGATACCTTATGTGTGTTTATTGCAGTCTGTGTTTGCTCTCTGGCTTGCAGATAAATTATCACTCATTGTGACAGAGACCATTTCTGTGAGCATTTTGTTTCTATATCAGCCTTGGTTTGGTTCACACTACAGAGCAGTAGCTGAACATGCGAACAGGACTGTGCCCTAGGAACACACCTAATGGCTGAAGGACGTGGCGCTCATGGGACCAGGCTAGATCTCATCCAGCTGAAACCCCTTCCCTCTGCCAGGATCCCTGCAGGGCAGATTTGGGCTCCAGCTGCTCTGCTGTACAGGGA